ATTGGCAATAGGTGTTAGCTCAGAGCCGGTCTTCCTCAGCAAAAAGAGGAGGATTAGCATGGATGTTAGCTCAGGGCTGATCTTCCTCAAAAAAAATAAATAAAAATAAATAAATAAAATAAAATAGTTTAAAAAAAGAAGAAATATACAACAAGCACATCAAATTCATGATTTCTTGGATCACATTGCTTAGGATGAGGCTAAAGTTTAAAAAAAAAGGTAAACAAAATGTTAAGTAAATGGATGATATACCTATATGGCAGAAATTGTGAAGTGGTACACAAATGCCTAAAGTTTGGGAAACACTGATTTAACCTGAGGGTCTCTTTTAACCCTCAAGACACTCAGGTGAGATAGGGATCAGTATAAATATTTTACACATGAAGAAACAGGACCAAAGGGGTTAAGAGACTTGGCCAAGGTCATATGGTTTTAAAGAGGTAGAGCCAGGATTTGAATCAAATTTCCATTTGATTCCAAGTCCACTGCTTTTTGCAGTTCATCCCAGCAGCCTCCTTGTGACACAGCTAGGTGAGAAATAGAAGGCTAACTGAGTGAAATATTGATCCCGTATTTAATTGGAGCATGTTTACTTAGCTACTATTACACGCCAGGCATTGTCCTAGGTTCTGATGGGAGAGTGAGATACAAAGATGACCATGACATGAGCCCTGACTTTCTAGAAATTGCAGTCTGGCAGGAAAGATAGTCATAAATGAAAGAAACAGTATTGTATATTCTGGCAATAGTGAGTCGTTTGATATGGCTTAAACACAGGTTGTGTGATCGGGAATGGAAGGGAGTGGGCTTGGAAATGTAGGATAGGGCCCAACTGTGAACAATATGAATGCCAAACTAAGGAGTTTAGACTTCATCCTTTAGTCTATAGGACTATAGATTAACATTGGTAGTAAGGATGGAGAGATCCATATAAGAGACGTGGAGGCAGAATTACTCTGCCTTGGTAACCGGTTGGCTGTAGGGAGTGAGGTTGGGGGATGATGACTCTGAAGGTTCTTGTTCTTGTTCTTGGCTGATGATGCCCAAAGGACACACAGCAAGAGGAAGCCCCAACCCTTTTACCTTTGCTTCCTTCAGGCCTGTGACCCTGGGCTGTCTCGGACGTGTGACCAGAATATGTATCTAAGTGGCCTGTGTTACCTCTTCAGCCAGGATCTGAGGGGTCCTGTGCTACAAGGCCGCCCTGGTTATCAGGGTAAGGAACTGAGGATCCAGTGGGTAAAAATGCCTCCAAGTGGCTGCCCATACATGGGAACCAGCATGAGCAGGCCAACCACTGGAGACACTTTACCAAGTCTCTTTGTGTCTGGCCTCTGCAGAATGTATAAAGGGCAACGTAGACCTAGTATTTCTATTTGATGGTTCAAGGAGCTTGCAGCAAGATGAATTTCAGAAAATTCTGGACTTCATGAAGGATGTGATGAAGAAACTTAGCAACTCTTCCTACCAGGTAAATATATTAGTTAGGATTCCTGGTTGTAGGCAATAGATGCCAACCTGAACTAGCTTAAGACCTAGAAAAATTTAGTATGAGGAGTCTCTAGAACCTAAGGGCATGGCTATAACTGGACCTCTGGAAGGGAGAAGCAGGGAGTAGAAAGTTTCTTGGATTTGCTCTAGTTCTCATTTCTGTTTCTTTTTGTGCTTTTACTTCCCTCTTCTCTTTCTCTCTCTCCGTAGACTGGCTCCTCAGCTTTTTTGGATCACATGGGTCTGTGGAAAGCCCATTATTTCTGTGTTTGTTTCTATATTGCCTCATTTTCAAAAGAATGATTTGAGGGAGGGACATGGAGTTGGGTTGCCCATGTCCTGCATAAGAAGTAGAGGTCGGAGCGGACAAGTGGGAAGGGAGATGTAACCACATTTCATTTCTTCCTCCTTTTTCTAGTTCGCTGCTGTTCAGTTTTCCACGACCTGCCGAACAGAATTTAATTTCTTGGATTATGTTAAGCTGAAGGACCCTAATGTTCTGCTGGCCAAAGTAACCCACATGAGCCAGTTGACCAACACGTTTACTGCCATCAACTATGTCGCGTGAGTTCCCTTTTGCAGGAGAGAGCCTATCCATCAGTTGTTCTGTGTGCACTAGCTTCTTCAAGTTGCAATGTGTAGGAACTCAACAGGTGGGTTCAGCAAGGGACAGGTTATTGTAAGAATTCAAGTGCAACAATTTTAGTCCAGGTTCTTTTGACTGTAAGTAACAGAAATCTACTTTATACTAACTAAATGCAAAAGGCAAATTTTTGGGAGGGTGCAGGGATAGCTCATGAACCTTCGGGACAAGGAGTCTTGCCAGGCCTCATGAGGGACTAGAACCACGACCTGAAAAGTGATTGTGGGGCTGGCCCGGTGGCTTAGCGGTTAAGTGCGCGTGCTCCACTACTGGCGGCCCGGGTTCGGATCCCAGGCGTGCACCGAGGCACCGCTTCTCCGGCCATGCTGAGGCCGCGTCCCACATACAGCAACTAGAAGGATGTGCAACTATGACATACAACTATCTACTGGGGCTTTGGGAAGAGAAAAAAAAAAGGAGGAGGATTGGCAATAGATGTTAGCTCAGAGCCGGTCTTCCTCAGCAAAAAGAGGAGGATTAGCATGGATGTTAGCTCAGGGCTGATCTTCCTCACAAAAAAAAAAAAGTGATTGTGAACCATGGCAGCCGTGGTAAAGTCACATCTTAAATGGGGATCAGCTTTTGAAGTCAATGTATAAATAAAAATCTCAAAAAGTCAAAATTGTTTTGGAAGAATTCCTTGAATTGTTCATAAAATTCAATATATTCAAGTCCCATGTTGGAAACAAGCATATCCTGATTTCCTAAATCTGCTACAGAAATCTTTTTCCCCAGTGTTGGATCAGATTGCTGTGTTTAAATTGAGGCCTAGATGGACATAGTTTGATTATGTTGAAGGGCCATATTATGTATTTTAAAAATACTTATCTTTAAATATTAGAGTGGCCATGGAAACTGAGACCAATTTGGGGAATATGAGAATTATATCTTCCATCTCATATTCCCACTGGGCATACACTCAAATCAATCTCCTGTACCCTTACACCAGTTTTTCTCATTCTGATTTTTTTGCCAAACTTGTATAGTTGAATTTGCATAAGTTAAGCAGGCATGTGATGCATCTTCTCAAGACTCTGCATGTGTGTTTCCAGCTCTTTTCTTCTGGGGCTCACTTGACCTATCATGTCCATTTCATTCTTTTCTCTCTGCAGACAGCTTTAGTGGGTACATGGTCAAGCCACGTCCACTGAAAAGATGGCAGCCTCAGTTCCTCAGTTCAGATGAACAACCTAAATTCCAGCTTCCAGGAGAGAAAATCTGATTGGCTGAATCTGGGTTAGGTGTCCACGGGTCCACTCAGCTATGGCCTGACTTTATGGCATAGAGTCACGTGGCACAAACATGGATTCTACAGTCCCACCTCTGTGCGGAGGGGGGCAGTTCTTAGAGAAAGGAGTCAACACGGCATGGGAGGACACCCCAAAAGATGTCAACTGGGGAAGCGAAAAGAAGCAGTCTTGGAAATGTATTTTATGAATGCTTCTTGACCACCTGGCTGTGTGCCAGGCAGTGTTCCAGGTCAGGAGTTGGCAAATTTTTTCTGTAAAGGGCCAGATAGTAAATATTTTAGGATTTTTTGACCACTTACAGTGTTGGTTGCATATTCTTTGTTTGGTTTTATAACCCTTTCAAAAATATGAAGACCATTCTTAGCTCGTGGACCATACAAAAACAATCCGTGAGCTGGATTTGGCCTGCAGGTCGTTTGCCGTGTTCTAGGTGCTGGGATCTTAGTAGTGAATGCAACAAAGAAAAACCTCTGCCCTCTTGAAGCTTTATATTCTAGTAGGGGAGAGAAATGCAATAAACAGGATAAATAAGTAAATTAGATAATATGGTAGAAGATGTAATTTTAATGAAGAAAAATAAAGCAGTATTCAATAGGAAGATCAAGGAAGGCTACATTTGAGCAAAGACTTGTTGGAGGTGAGGAAGTGAGCCATGTGGATACCTGGGGGAAGACCATTCCAGGCAGAGGGGATAGCAAAGGCCCTGGGAGGAGAACATGCTTGGGATGTTTGAAGAAGAGCCAAGACTTCAGTATGGCTGGAGAGAAGTGCATGAGAGGGGAACGTAGGAGGAGATGAGGTCAGAGAGATCCTGGGAGTTCGCATGAGTTAGGGACTTGGAGGCCATAGTGAAGACTTTGGCTTTTCCTCTGAATAAGATGAGAAGTTATTGGAGGTTTTGAGCGGAGGAGTGATAATCTGATTTTGTTTTTAAAAGGATTCCTCTGCCTGCTGGGTTGATATTAGACTATGGAGGGGGCAAAGGTGGAAGCAGGGAGGCCAGTTGGGAGGCTACTGAAAAATCCAGATGAGAGATGACAGTGGTTTAAAGCAGGGTGGAAATCCATGAACAGGACCCATGATAGGCCATGTCCGCATGGATGGAGGTTAGAGAAACATATTGCATCCAATATAGAACTTGAGGCCTTGACAGCAGGCATTTTTGGCGCTGCCCATCAGAGCTCCTCTGTCTTTGGCAGCTTCCAGCTTTCCTGCTCTCCTCTCTGTATCTCTCCTCCACCTCCCACTGTGGCCTCTCCATGTGACTTTCAGTTTCTGCTCCCGAGGCAGATCATGTCATAGTCTGGGGTTGTGGGTTGGCTGCTCTTGGATTAATTGTCCATCTCTGGTTAGCTGTGGGGTGGAAAGGGAAGGATCAGATGGTTCAAACAGAGCTACTGTCCCAGCAAAAACTGTAGGCAACCTATCTCGCTTCAGAAGGCGGCTGTGGACAGGGCGGGAATTTGGCCTGTCCAGTATTCAGTCCTCTCTTCTTTCTTTTATTTCACATGCACTGAGCACCTACTCGGTGTCAGGAACCAGAGATACAGCAGCAAACCAAACATGGTCCTTTCCTTGAGGAACTTGGGGTTTAGGGGAAAAACTGACACAGAAACAAATCACTTCAATTCCCTAGGACGCTTGCTGTAGTGGAGATGTACAGGCAGCCTTTGGGGGTAGGGTAGTAGAGGGGGCAGAGGAGGGAATATATGAGCTTGCTCTGGCAGAGTGACTTTCCAGTTTTCTGTGGCTGCGGAACCCATTTTTTCCATTGAAATCTTACCTAGATCACCAGCATATCTACCTCATTAAAGGGTAGTTGTGGTGTGGTTGAAATGAAGGGTAGGAAGCCCAGAGTCTCCCCTCTCAAAACCTCCCCTTCACTGCCCATGGATGCTGGGACAACCTCCCGGCTGCCCTGAATTTGGTTGAAGATCACTGGCCTAGAAGGAGAGATGTGGCAGCAAGGGCGAGGTAGGAGGTTCAGAAGAGAACTTTGAAGGCTGGGAATACCTGCCTGGGGAATGTGAGAAGGGCTTTTGCATAATCAGCAGGGTGGTGACTAAATGAGCAGGGTGAGGGGGTGGAGGAGACCTCAGATGATTTAGGAGGAGTCTCTTACATTTTCCCCTTCCTGGACACAGGACAAAGGTGTTCCGGCAAGACCAGGGGGCCCGGCCAGATGCCACCAAAGTGCTTATCATCATCACTGATGGAGAAGCCACTGACAGTGGCAACATTGGCGCGGCTGAAGACATCATTCGCTACATCATTGGGGTATGGGCCTCGGGCCCCTGGCTTCTTCCTATGTCTCATCTTCCCTCTCCTATCCCTGAACCCCACTTCTCTTTCTCCTTGGGGCCAGGGTCTGGTGAAAATAATAGAAAATTGGTCTGCGATTCTGGGGATGCCAGCTCTTTTCTCTTCACTCCCTCACAGATTGGAAAGTACTTCCGGGCCAAGGAAAGTCAAGAGGCACTCCACAAATTTGCCTCAAAACCCACGCAGGACTTTGTAAAGATTCTAGACACATTTGAGAGGCTGAAAGACCTATTCACTGAGCTGCAAATGAAGATCTATGCCATTGAGGGTGAGTGGCAGCCCCTGGGAGAGAGAGCTCGGGAGCTTGTGTACAAAAACTCGTCTGGAACATGAGATTAGAGACACACTGAATAATAATAATGAGCGCTTACTCAGTGTCTGGCACGGTGCAAAGAGCTCTCCTGAATACGGACCTCAGGTAGGAATTTAGGAGACAATGATTTAGGAGCAGCCTCTATTTCCCTCTGAAATTCATCTTCCTCTTGAAGCTCAGCTTGATCCCTTGTGGAGTCTAGAACTGACCTATATCTTGCTGGTGTCAGCTGAGCCCAGGAATGACTGTAATTCCTCCTATAATTCCTTCCTCCTCTCACTCAGCTCCCTCCTTTTCACTTATCTAAGGCCTCGAATTACTTAAGATGGGCAAATGGAACCCACAGGCCCTCTTCTTGGCCCAGAGTAAGAAAAGGTTTTGATTGTAGTCGCCAGATGGAGGACTGGCTATGGGAGAGTATTTCTCTAGGAAGCCTAGCCTGCTGAAAGGTACATGGTTCCCTCTGGGAAGGCCCCTTTGCGAGGACACAGCCTTGGTGTTCAGTTCAGTTGAAGAAGCAGTGTGGTGTGTATAGTGGGACCAGGCAGACCTGCTCACTTCCCGTCTCCGAGGCTCATTGTTCTCTGTTAAAGGGGGTAATAATACCAGTCTCACAGAGTTGTAAGGTTTAACTGCTGTATTAGTTTCCTAGGGCTGCTGTATCAAAGTACCAAAAACTGAGTGGCTTAAAGCAACAGAAATTTCTTGTCTTGAGTTCTGGAGGCTAGAAGTCAGAAATCAAGGGTTTGGCAGGGCCACACTCCTTCTGACGGTTCTAGGAGAGAATCCTTCCTTGCCTCTTCTACCTTCTGGAGTTTGCTGGCACTCCTTGGCCTTCCTTCACTTGTAGCTGCATCGCTCCCATCACCCATCCCTCTTCTCCCCGTGTGTCTTCATGTCCTCTTCTCTCTGTGCGTCTGTTTCCCTGTGTCCAAATTTCCTTTTTTATAAGGACACCAATCATATTGGATCAGGGCCCATCCTAAGGACCTCATTTTAACTTGGTTACCTCTATAAAGACCCTGTTTCCAAATGAGGTCACATTCTGAAGTGCTAGGAGTTAGGACTTCAACATATCTTTTTTAAGGAACACAATTCAAGCCGTAACAACTGCTTAGTGGAGTGCTTGTACCTTGTGGGCTCCCTGTAAATCGTAGCTCTTATTATCCCTAGCTCTTATCCTCTGTCCTGCCCTGCCATCACTCATCCTTCAGATCGTAGTTTAGATGTTGCTTCCTCTAATAAGGTTGCGCTGATCCCGAGTCTGGGTTCTTCTGTGTGCTGCTGGAACGCTGTGTGTTCACTGTCACAGCCCCTGTGACATACATTGTGTTATAATTGTCTATCCAATGTCCATCTCCCCCTAAACTCTGAGGTCTATCATGGTAAGCATTGTGTCTGCTTTTTCACCATTGTATCCCTGGCACCAAATATTTAGTTACTCTAAGTATTTATCCAGTGAACGAACAAATCTTCATAATAAGTGCTATGTTTCTTGAAAGCCTACAGGTAGCAGGCACTTTATATCGTTGTATTCATTCCTCTCAGCATCCTTGCAAGGCTGGTGGTATTATTTTTATTTAATTAATTCATGCTTCAAACAACCATGTACCAGGCCCTGTGAATAGGACACTCAGGGATATTGTCAATGTAGAGCTCATATTCAGGTTGGATAAAGAAAGACAGCAAACAAGTAAACAAACAGGATAGTTTTCAAGAGTGATAAGCGCTATAAGGAAAATGAATAAAGTGATGGGACAGATTTAACTGGAGCAAGCCAGTTTAGATAGGCTTTTCAAGGAAGATGCCTTTTTTTTAGTTGAGGTAAATTCACTCTGAGATGACTTTTGAGCTGAGACATGAAAGATGAGACTCACACAGCCACATGAGGAATGTGCAAAGAGCATTGTAGTCACAGAGAAGAGCAAGTGTGAAGGCCGGAGGTGGGAAGGGCTTGGCAGTGATAGGAGCGTGGTGAGGAGGGGAGAGAGAAGGTGGGAGAGGGAAGCAGGGGCCTTCCTGCTCCTCATAAGGACTTTGGATTTTAGTCCAAAGAGCAATGGGAAGTAATGAAGGGTTTTTAAGAAAGGGAAAGATGAAGTCTGATGTACATTTTTTAGAAAGATTATTCCAGCTTGCTCTGTGGAAAAAAGGCGTGGAAAGAGGAAGAATAAAGTCAAAGAGACCAAATTAGTAAGCTCCTGCATTAGTCAGGCAAGAGATGAGGAGGGCTTGGACCATGCTCGTGTGTGTGGAACATAGACTGTTCAAAGAAGGGGCAGATGTGTTTTGAAGGGAGAACCATCATGATTTGGTGATGTGTTGGAGGTGGCACAGGGGGAGAGGGAAGCATCAAGGTTGATTCCTGGGTTTTTAGCATGATTCACTAGGTGGATGGGGATGCCGTTTATTGAAGAGAGGAAGCCTGAGTAGGGACAGAAATCAAGAGCTGCATCTTAGACACGCTAAGCTAGAGTAACTGGATGTCCACATCTGACACTTGAGGAGTTTTACATGAGAGTCAGAGCATAAGTCACTTCCCGGTCTGACTCTAAAGTTCATGCTATTTCTACCTTGCCCAAAGGTAAATGCCATGCTTGTTCTCAGTCCTTTCACGAGCATCGCTGTTTTGACTGCTCCTCGGGTCTTGGCCCGTTCTCCTCTCTCTTGTCCCTCAGGCACAAGCAGACAGGACCTGACTTCCTTCAACATGGAGCTGTCCTCCAGTGGGATCAGTGCTGACCTCAACAAAGTGAGTGGTGGGCCTGAAGCAATGGGCCGAGGGATGTTGTGGGAATGCAGCTGACCCCGCTTGTCTCCTTCTCTGGGCAGGACCATGGCATCGTGGGTGCAGTTGGAGCCAAGGACTGGGCTGGAGGCTTTCTAGACCTGAAGGAAGACCTAGAGGATGATACGTTTGTTGGGAATGAACCACTGACACCAGAAGTGAGAGGAGGCTATTTGGGTGTGTACTTCTCTTTTCTGCTGAGTTCTTTCAGTTTTAGGGGTCAGAGAGTCACTCAGACCGACTTTCAAAATAATAATGGAAGGGCTGGCCTGGTGGCGCAAGCGGTTAAGTGCGCACGCTCTGCTAGGGCGGTTGGGGGTCCACCGGTTCGGATCCCGGGTGTGCACCGACTCACTGCTTGTTAAGCCATGCTGTGGCGGCGTCCCATATAAAGTAGAGGAAGATCGGCATGGGTGTTAGCCCAGGGCCAGTCTTCCTCAGCAAAAAACAAGAGGAGGATAGGCATTGGATGTTAGCTCAGGGCTGGTCTTCCTCACAAAAAAAATAAATAATAATAATGAAAGCAATTTAGCAACCAGCATGAACAAACTCAGAGTTTAAATACAGTTATAACATTCTTAATTTTTCCCTTAACAGCCCCTCACCTGTGTATGAATCATGTTTTTATTTTCTGTATTTTATGATGCTTTGACATCAATAGGCTTTGCTAATCTGGGAGAGACTCGCCTCCCTGGGGCTAGCTAATTCTGACAGGGAGTCAACAACTTGCCCGTGGGCAGGTCTTCCATATGCTAACCAGCCTATCCAGAGCCCATATCCAACCACCAACTTTAACTAACTTCCACACACCAAGCAGATATACCCTCTGACCTAAATGACCGCTGGGCCAGTACTAGACAACTAAGACCACCCCTGAAGCCCAGAGCCTGCCAACCTTATGCCAACTGGTCCAATCCTGAGCTTGCTGAAGCTTACCGACCCTGCCTCACTCATTCCTTCCCACCAAAGCCACAATAAGGGCTCTGGGCCATACTCTCCCTTCTCTCCTTCTGCCTCCTCACTGACGCTGGTGCTTCCCCCGGGCGGCCCTGCATGGCCTACTTTGCCTCCTGCTTTGGGGAACTGTGAGTAATAAACTTCTTTCAATGCAGTGACCTCTCTGTGTCATCACACAGTCATACCTATCCATTAAATCCTGGATACATTTTAAAACAACCTGCCTCATTAGTAGGCGGACGAGCACCTCCTCCTTGAGGCTTCCCTGTCTTGAATTGTCCAGAAGCTCCAGGGTTGATTCAGTCTCAAGAGTTCTTCAGGTGCCAAGCAGAGGAAATGAGTCTGGTCAATCTGGTTGCTGTTGCTTCTCTTGCTTCACGGTGTCACTGTTGTGGTCCTGTCCTGCGCAGGTCTCTGGGTGCTTGTCCATCCAAGGTGATGGCAGTTGCGGGCTGCTGAGAGGCCTCACCCTTGTGCTCCAAGGTTAAAGCTCTGTTAGTTCCCAGTCGTGGAGTCAGCCTGCCTCAAGGCACAAACTGGCTCCTAGAGCCCTGGGATAGGACTGCTTCCAGGTTCTGCCTTCTCAAAGATCTAGAACCAGCACCCTCCACCCTGCCTCTTCCATGACCCCTGTATGGGGATGGGCCACTCCTTTATCAAACTCTCAGAACACAAAGATCTTATTAAATCCTTTCCTCGGGAAAATTGGTCCTATTCATCTTGCATCTACCCTTCTGAGGGAGGCTGCCCTCTGTTATTTTTCTTTTTCTTTTTTTGACGTTCTTTACTAAGAAAGTATTATGTACCAGACACTGTTCTAAGTGCCTGACATGTATTGACATATTTTATCTCATCTTATCCTCACAACAACCCTGTAAGTAGCTATTTTTATCATCTCAATTTTACAGATGAAGAAACTGAGCCCAGGAGAGTTGAAATAACTCGCCTAGGGTCACAGAACTAGTAGGTAGAGCCCAACGTTTGTGCTAGTGATCACTACACATGCACCGCAGTGCCTACACCTCTGCTTCAAGGGGGTTTTCTGTTCTTCAGCGTGCTACAAAGTAGCTGACAATGCTGCTCACTAAAGAAGAAGAAATAACCCCAAAGTTTAATCTCTAGTTAGGCTCCCACCCCACTACACACACACACACACACACCCCTGTATTCTTTATGTCCATGGTTTTATTTAATCCTCAAAACCACTCTCTAAGCTTGGTACTATCCCCATTTTTTTAGATGAGAAAACTGAGGATCAGAGGCATGAAGTAATTTTCTCAAGATTGCACAGCTAGGAAGTAGTAGCACTAGGATTAAAACCTTGTCTCTCTGATTTCAAAGGGCAGGTTCACCCTGGGGCTTCAGGAATATACAAGCCTCTTCACCCTTCCTCTCACGTGCTGTCGAGTCTCGGACATCTCGGTTTTTCTCACTCACTTGCAACTGCTCTGAGCAGAGAAGATCAAATTGGGTCAGTTAGTCATCTTTTGAATCAGCATTCCTGTTGGGTGGCTCCTGGCTGTAGCCCGGTCCCTGGCCTCCTTTCCTGCAGCGTTTCCTCCATTTCCTCAGTGCAGTAACAGAGGGGAGAGACCCTCGCCACAGCAACTGTGAAGGATGAAGATAACCTGAAGTGGTATCTTTAAGCAGGACATTTTTTCAAGTCTTATGCTGTATTTTTAATATTTATGCAAACTTTGCATCTTCTTACTAATGTATCCCATTTTATTTTATTATTTAAAAAACGCGTAGGGGGCCAGCCCCGTGGTTTAGCGGTTAAGTGCGTGCGCTCCACTGCTGGCGGCCCGGGTTCGGATCCCGGGCGCACACAGACACACCGCTTCTCTGGCCATGCTGAGGCCGCATCCCACATACAGCAACTAGAAGGATGTGCAGCTATGGCATACAACTATCTACTGGGGCTTTGGGGGAAATAAATAAATAAATAAATAAAGATTAAAAAATAAAATAAAATAAAAAACACGTAGTCTCCCTTACCAGCCTCAGGTGAACTGAGACTCGGGAAGATGCAACACATTTACTTTGTGGTACAGGGCTGCTTTTTCCCGGGCATGTGTGTTGTCCACAGTTTGAGAAATGCAGCCTTGGACCAAGCTGGCAAGATTTGTACCACTGAGAGCATGTGGCTGCTTTTCTTAGGAGAAGGTCTTCTGGCTCTTTCAGTGCATCTTTGCTGCTAACCCAGTTTCCCAGGTCTCTGCCCCCTTTGCCCCTGGGTTTTACCTTCTTCCAGCAGCCACTGTGTTTCTGACTCCGAGCCCCTTGCTCTCTCTCTCTCTCCTCAGGTTACACGGTGACCTGGCTGTCCTCCCAAGAGCTCCCATCACTGCTGGCAGCTGGAGCCCCCCGATACCAGCATGTGGGGCAGGTTCTGCTGTTCCGAGAGCTGGAGAGCAGAGGACACTGGAGCCAAATCCAGAAAATAGAGGGGGTCCAGGTGAGCAGGGCCCCAGGGCGTCTGCAGATCAGGGACTGGTAGATGCTCCCTGCTGTCTCCTAAACACTCACCCACTTACTGTGCTGTGGCCCTGTGCCAGGCGCTGTCACATTTGTTCCTCACAAAACCCTCTGAGGTAAGCTTTGTCATCTCCACTTGCCAGTTTAAGAAACCTCAAAGAGGCCAACTTGTCTTAATTCATACAGGCTGTAAGTGGAATCCAGGACTTGAGCCTTTATTTGAGAGACTGGAGTAGGAGGGATGTGGTGCAGCTGAGGGGGAGTGGGGTGTCCTGCTCATGGGCTCTTCCTCAAACGTCTTCCTCTCCCTGCAGGTTGGCTCTTATTTTGGTGGAGAGCTGTGTGGTGTTGATATGGACCAAGATGGGGAGACAGAGCTGCTGCTGATTGGAGCTCCTCTGTTCTATGGGGAGCAGAGAGGAGGCCGAGTGTTTGTCTACCAGAGAAAACAGGTGTGGACCAGGACACTGAACTGAGGGGGTGGGAGAAACAGATTCCCAGGCCTACTCAGGTCCTAATTATTGTGAAAGGCTTTCTCTTCTGATCATGTATTAATCATACCTTTAGAACAACAGTCAAACAATGGCTAATAATCACTGGGGGTAGACGGTGTGCTAGGCCCTGTGCCAAAACTTTATATATATGGGACCTCATTTGATCCTCCCAGTCACCTTCTGAGATACTGTGAGCTTTATCTTACAAATGGGACACTGCGGCTCAGCAAGGCTGGGTGACTTTCCAAAACCACAAGGTCCCACAGATGGCAAGAGGTGGAGCTGGGACTTGAATTCAGGTTAGTCTGAGGCCCCATTCCAATTCTGTGAGGGACCACATGCGACATTTCTTTAGTGTTCTTCACGTACACAATGCCTCACACTCCGAAAGCCTGCTGAGTGATTGAGGTGGCACCTGTCGCCTTGCTCCTTCCCAGCTGGAGTTTGAAGTGGTGTCAGAACTGCAGGGGGATCCTGGCTACCCCCTTGGGCGATTTGGAGCAGCCATCACTGTCCTGACAGACATCAACGGGGATGAGCTGATGGACGTGGCTGTGGGAGCCCCTCTGGAGGAGCAGGGGGCTGTGTACATCTTCAATGGGCGGCATGGTGGGCTGAGCCCCCGGCCAAGTCAGGTGAGGTATCCTGCCTACCAATCAAAACCCATTCCCAGGCACCTGGAAGCCTCCAAACCCAGACCCCACTCCCCAGCCTGACTCTTCCCACCCTTCAGCCTGTCCTCTCCCTAGCTTAGTGTGAATTTCTCTCTTGGTCTCAGCGGATAGAAGGGACCCGGGTGTCCTCAGGAATTCGATGGTTTGGACGCTCCATCCACGGGGTGAAGGACCTTGGAAAGGATGGCCTGGCAGATGTGGCTGTGGGGGCTGAGGGTCAGGTGATCGTGCTGAGGTAAGACGGGACTCCTGATCCCACCTAATAATAATTTCAGCTCCCATCTTTTGAACAGTTACTGTGTACTAGGCGTTGTGCTAATGACGCTTATAGGCATTACCTCCTTTGGTCTTCCCCCAACCCTGTGAGATAGGGTCTCTTCATACAGGCTTTATGTCTTAGTCTAGGTGAAACAGCTGCTAATCAGGGACAGACTGGGATTTGAACTCAGGCCTGTCTGACACTAAAGCCTCCTAGAGAAGCAACCTCATGTGATGGCTTTAGAACCTGGTGACCTGGATTCAAATGGAAGCTCTCTCATTTACTTCTTGGGTGATCTTACCCCAGTCACTTAGCTTCCCAGGACCTCAGTTTCCTCATCTTTGAAATGGTGGTGACATTTCCTGCCTTACTTGGAAGCATCATGTGACATCATGGAGTGAATAGGTATTTATTGAGCACCTGCTATGTCTTCAACACTGAACCAGGCATTGGGTATAGAGTGGATGTGTGGGGAAACATGTAATAAAAAATTAAACAACTAAATAGGTAATTACAAGTTGTGAAAAGAGCTATGAGGGGAATGAGCAGGGTACTGTGAGAGAGAGTAGCAGGGGAGACCCACTATAGATTGGGAGGCCAAGAAAGGCCTCTCTGAGGAGGTGATATTTGAGCTGGGACTTGAAAGGTGTGAAAGAGCCAGGCTTGCAGAAATCTAGGGTTAGAGCTTTCTATGTAGAAAGCCCAGGATGTGCCAAGGCCACAAGGCAGGCCAAGGTTTGACGTGGCTGGAACATGTTCAGCCAGAGGAGAGTGTGGTAGGAGATAAGACTGGAGAGGTAGGCATGGATAGCAAAACATTTGGATTTTATTCTGAATATTGTGTGGCATCAGTGAAGGGTTATAAGCATGGAAGGAGCTCGATGTGACTTCTCTTTTTAAAAGCTCACTCTTCTGTGTGGAAAATGGGTCAGAAGGCTGCTAGAATGCATGGGGAGCCCACCCTAATTCATTATCATTGTTTTTTTGTGTGTGTGTGTGAGGAAAATCAGCCCTGAGCTAACATCTGCCAATCCTCCTCTTTTTGATGAGGAAGACTGGCCCTGGGCTAACATCCATGCCCATCTTCCTCCATTTTATATGGGACGCCGCCACAGCATGGCTTGCCAAGCGGTACGTCGGTGCACTCCCGGGATCCAAACCAGCGAACCCCGGGCCGCCGCAGCGGAGCGCGCGCACTTAACCGCTTGTGCCACCTGGCCAGCCCCTCATTATCATTGTTATCATCATTGCAAGGCGATAGTGACGTTGAGGTCTACTTTAGGGAAGGAGAGTCCTCTGGCCTCTGATAGATGGAGCCCCATGTCTGTTTGGGGATTGCAGTTGAGGCCGAGGGAGAGAGTTGGTTATTTTCTGCCCTGCAGCGCGCGGCCTGTGGTGGATATCATCACTCAGATGTCCTTCACCCCGGCCGAGATCCCAGTGCATGAAGTGGAGTGCTCCTATTCAACCAGTGACAAGAAGAAGGAAGGAGTTAACATCACAGTCTGTTTCCAGGTCAAGTCTCTCACCTCCCAATTCAAAGGTCAGTACTGTTCTCCTGCTCCCCAGAGCAGCTGCTCACCCCAAATTCAGGCTTATGGTACCAGGATCCGCCACCATTCAACTCCTGCCTTTCTACTCTGCCCAGGGCCCCTGGTTGCCAACCTCACTTACACTCTGCAGCTGGATGGCCATCGGCCCAGAAGCCGGGGGTTGTTTCCCGGAGGGAGACATGAACTCAGCGGGAACACAGCTGTCACGGATGTCATGTCCTGCACTGGGTTTTGGTTCCACTTCCCGGTAAGGGAGCCAGTGAGACTTCTCTGGGAAATGAAGGGTGAGGAGCTGACTGCAGTGAGAGGCAACATCGGGTGCAAAGCTCAGCAATGGCACTGTCCAGCTGGGTCACAAGTCACTTTGATTTCTCCATACACCATTTCCTCTACTGTACAATAGTAGTAATAATACCTTTAGCATATTTTCTTCTAGTCCCTAATCTATCTACATTAAGTGTTTTTAACATGATTACCATTGTAAAGTACTTATTTTTTTCCTACTCTTTTCAGACATCATATATTAATGCTGCTACCCAGCTTTCATAATTATTTTTAATGGCTATGGAATATTCAGTCACAGTGGTATATCATTATTTGCCAGGCACACATGGTCATTTATTATTAACATCCATCCCAGAAAGAGGTTTTTTGTTTGTTTGTTTGTTTGTGTGGTGAAGAAGATTAGCCCTGAGCTAACATCCATTGCCAATCCTCCTCTTTTTGCTGAGGAAGATTGGCCCTGGGCCAACATCCGCGCCCATCTTCCTCTACTTTATATATGGGACGCCGCCACAGCATGGCTTGATAAGCAGTATGTAGGTCCGTGCCCGGATCCAAACCTGCGAACCAGGGCCACCAAAGCAAAGCATGTGAACTTAACCACTACGCCACTGGGCCTGCCCCAGAGGTTTTTTTTTTTTTAAATAATAGTTTAAACAATGCTAAAATACCCAAATTCAGTTTGCTTATAACAGTCTTGTGTAAAATAAGATTGATATTACTAAATTATTCTGGTCTCTTAAATATTTCATAGAAGACTGAATATAGGATTGGTGTATAAGATTTTCAAGTTTTTTTTATATTTTTTATTGTGGGAAATTTCAAATACACAAAAGTAGGAAAAATGCTTTAATGAACCCCCAAATACCCATCACCCAGTTTCAACAATTATCAACTCACAATTATTTAATTCATACCTCAACTCAGTGCCCTTCTATCTCTTCCCACCACCCCCCCACTACAAGATTTGGAAATTATAAACATTTTCAGAGAAGAGGCACTGTGACATGATGGAAAGACTTTAGACTTGGGAGTTGGACAGATTTGGGTTCACTTCCTAGTTCTAGTCCTCAGGAAAATCCCATCACCTTTTTAGACCTTGTTTTCCTTATCTTTAATGTGGAGATAATAATGCCTACCTCTTCGGGTTGGTAGAAACTTTAGGTGAATATGATTTGAGTGTCTACAAAGTGCCAGAGTCAGGCACTGGTAATGTCACAAAAGACTAGGACTCATCCATAGTTATTCTAGAATATTCTTTTCTTGTGCAAACTTTGATAATGGCTGCGTAGAGCAGTGTGACAGAGATTCAGGGGCTTCTGTTAGGACTCAATGGGAAGAAGTGCTGTGGTTGATTAGCAATGTCTGCCATGGAATTGGGGCTGCAGACAGACACTTGTGCTGAGAAGTAACCCTGGGCATATTATAAACACCTGATATGTAGTAAACATATTTCCACTACTGGTACAGAAGACAACTAACTACTGGAATTTTATCATTTGTAAAGTATGGACAAAGCGTGCCTTTAACTGGAAGTGTGGTAAAGGTTAAACTCACGACATAGATTGTATTCTTATCACCCTCAGGTATGCATTCAAGACCTCATCTCTCCCATCAACGTCTCCGTAAATTTCTCTCTCTGGGAGGAAGAAGGGACACCGAGGGACCAAAGGGAGGTAAGAAGAGATCGGCTGAGGGAATTAATAGGAAGGAGGGGAGAGTAGAAATTCAATTTAGCAAGATTGTATTATATAGGAGTCTCTGGTTTTAAGCAATAGAAAGCAAATATGGCTTACTTAAGCAGGAAAGGAATTTATGGGAGTTTGTATTTAAGAGAAATTTGGAAAAGCAAGGTTGGGAAGAAGGGGACCGAGGGTGGAGGCTCGGGGGGCTTTTGAGAGGAAGGAAAGGATGGATTCCTCAGGGCACAGCCCGTTCAGTGAATCTGCTCCAGGCCCCTGCCGTGCATCAGCTTCAGACCTCATCAGGCTCTTGGTTCTGCTCAAGATGCAAATTCTGGGGAGAGGACTTCAGAAGGCCTCGGACCGTCCCTTATTTGTGGAAGGACAGGGCACTCTGATTAGCGTTCTTGCCCAGGTGTATTCCCTCAAAGCCAGATTGGGGTGCTGTTATGATGTAAAAGAGGAAAACAATGTCTACCGTAGTCTACCAGACCACGCACTCCCCACCCAGTACCACAAGCCTGATTTCCTTTTCTGCAACCCTTGACATTCAGCTGGTAGTTTGACTTCTTCGGAAGGCAGCACGGTCTGGTGGAAAGGACCTGGGCCTGGAAGCCTGAAGATGTGGATTTATTTTCCTGGCACGAACATGACCAGATTCTCTCTCTAGGACTATGACCCCACCTATAAAATGAGTCCCGACACTGTGAGGCCTCTCCCAGAGCTGGAGCACGGTGACTGCTAAGTGCATTCTTTCTTGTGGCTTTTAGCAGCATGCAATGAGTGCGCTCCCCCCCACGCATGCTCACTCTCCTGAGATTTGAAGATAACGATGGGATGGTGTGCTTATGGAAAAATTAAAGCCCCTACCCACCAGATGCTCATCATGCACTTAAGGAAAGCTGATTGAGCACCTGCATGTGCTAAGCCCTATTCTGGGCACAGGCTCCACTAAGGTAAATAAAACATGGTCCCTCCCTGTGAGGGGCTCAGAGGCTGCTACTGAAAGTCAATAGACAGTTACAACGTGCTGTGATAAGGCTACGGTAAAGTCAGATACCGGGAGGCAACAATCTTATGCCACATATTTGGAAGATAAGGAAAGCCTTCCCACAAGAGGTGACCCTGAAAGTCCCCATGTGGAGAAGAGCAGGTGGGCGTTCAGACAGAAGGTGTAGTGTGAGCACAGGCGTAAAGCTGCCAGGGGTTTGGTGTGATGAGAGGGGTTTGGTGTGATGAGAGCACAAAGCGAGGGAGAGGGTGGAAGAAGAACACACCCTTTCCCTTTAAGAACATTTCCCGATAAGCCACATGACGCTCACTTACATCTCATTGGTTGGAACTTAGTCACATGGTCACACCTGACTACAAGAGAGCCAGAGACATATAGTCTGTCCACTTGGCCATGTGACCAGATAAAAAGTGGAGGCTTTATTTTAAAGGCAGAAGGTGAGGAAGGAGATACAGTATGGGGACAACCAGCAGTCTCTGCCATTGGCACGAATTAAATGCCAAACTGTGTGATGCAGGAACTCAGGGTAAAAAAGAGACCTGAGGTCACAGGCATCAAAAAAGCCTTCCTGGGGGAAGTGTCACTGGCTCTGGATCTTGCAGAATGAGTAGACTTTGGGTAGATGGAGAGAGGAGAGGCCGGGGAAGGAGCCTGAGGGAATGTATGGTGTACATTCAAGGGAAATGGGGAGGGGGGCGTGGCTTCGGCAGAAGGACAACTGAGCAAGACAGAAGCCATAGATGCCCATCTGGGGACTGGCTGTGGTCCAGTGGGTGGTGGGAATCTGTGTATGAATGTTGAGGGTGGGTGGCCAGCAGTCAGCAGAGGCCGCCAGGAAGGAAGAGTCTGGAGGCTGCTTGGCAGGTGGCCTAGAAGCAGAGGAGGCTGGAGGCTTTCTAGAACATATAGCTGATAACCCATAAAATACTTCTACGACCCCATCGCCCTCAAGATAAAGTCCCAACTCCCTAACATGGCTTGCAAGGCCCAAGGGAACCTGGACCCTGCTTCTCTCTCCTGCCCCTTGTGACACACAGCACTCCAGCCAGTCTGAGCATCTTCCTGCTCCTTGCACAGACACAATCTCGCTTGCCTTGGGCCTTTGTATAGACTGTTCTTTCTTTCTCCTCCTCCATTCTCCTCACCTGGCTCCCTCCCACTTATCCTTTAGATTTCAATTGAGATGCCGTTCCTTCAGGAAGCTTCCCTGATCCTCAAGTGTGAGATAGGATTCCCTTCTACATGCTTTAAGTATATCCTCTACTTGTCCCATCATAACGCTTGACGATTTCCTCAGATTGGGAGGGCAGGTGGTGTGTCTGTTTTGTTCTCTGGTGTATACCCAGTACCCAGCATGGGGCCTGGCCCAGAGCAGAAGCTCTGGAAATGTTGAAAAACTGGCCTTGATCTGATAAGAGATGGAGCGCTGTTCTAGGAGGGAGATAGGGTTCACAGAGGAGAAGCACAGTAAAAGCAAGTCACAGGCAGGTGTGTCCAGAGGCTGTGCAGCGAGGCGTCTCTGCCAGGGGAGGAGACAGGCTAGGAGGAACTGTGGGAGCTGCTTTGTCAAGGCCCAGACCTCCTGTCTAGGAGAGGAAATAGACACCCAGAGCTTCAGCCTCCCTTGAGGAGCTGCCATTGGAGGAGGGCTGCACAGATGGCCTTGGGCTGAGTCAGGAGGGTGGGGCCTGCCCAGGGAAGGCATTGGCTCCTGGGAGTGCAGACCATAGCCAGCCTGCTGAGCCCCAAGCCCTGAGCCCCTCCAGCTCTCTTCCACGAGTTCTGCTACCTCAACTAACCTTTCCTGTCTCCCGGCCCTCTCACTCATCTGTGCTCAGCAGGACCAGGACATACAGCCCATCCTGAGACCCTCAGCACACTCGGAGACCAAGGAGGTAAGAGGTGAAGAGGGGCAGACAGAGAGACCAGGGTCAGGCCCTCCTGGGTCTGGGGGCCTGAGCCTCCTAGTGCTTTCTTCTTGGTCTTTCAGATCCCTTTTGAGAAGAACTGCGGAGAGGACAAGAAATGTGAAGCAAACCTGAAGGTGTCCTTCTCCCATGAAAGGTCTGTAAGGCTTCCAGCCCCCCAACCCCCAGGCCCTCCTATTCCACTTGGTGTTTTCCTGAGACAGCTCCTGTGTGCTAGAAAGAACACTGGAGGTGGAGACAGAAGACCCCCATCTGCACTCACTAGATGTGTCATCTGGGCCTTAGTTTCCTTCTCTGAGAAATGCAAGTCCCTTGGGGCACTCCTGTCAGGATTAGATGAGATCACAAAACTTAAACCCCATGCATAGGAGCTTATGTTTTATGTACTTACTTTTTCTGGCGTCCCAGATCCCTCAGTTCTGAAATTCCCCACCTCCCATCCTGCTTCCTTTACTATGGCCCCCATAACTTTTCTCTGATCTTCCCCCAGATCCAAAGTCCTGCGTCTGACCCCCTCTGCCAGCCTCTCTGTGGAGCTGACACTGAATAACTCAGGAGAAGATGCTTACTGGGTCAGGCTCGGCCTGAGATACTCCGGGGGACTGTCCTTCCGCAAAGTGGAGATGCTCAAGGTGAGCGAGAAGGCAGGGCTTGCCCGCATGCCACGCTTGTCCCTGCAGCTTCTGCTCGCCTCTAGGGGCCTCAGGCAGCCAGGACAGCCTGAAGATGTGGGCAGCAGCTGGCATGCAGAGGACTTAGGGTCATCTGCGTTTTCAGCCTGATGGCCACCGTCGAGCTCTCTGACTTGAGAAGCAAGGTTCACCCTCTTTGGGCCTCAGATTCCACAACTAAAAAGTGAAGTTGGGGACACTCAGAGGGTTAGTGAGAGAGTCACATGAAATGGAGGGTGTGACACAGGCTTGTGGACCTGGTGACCAAGATGTGCACAGGTTCAGTGAGATCAAGCTACCTCTCTCCTAGAGGTGACCGAAGTGTTTTTGAGGGATGGCCTAGGTTGTTTTAAATACAACTCTTATTTTTTAAATTATTATTACGAGAGTAATACATGATCACCACAGAAACTTGGAAATTACAGAGAAGTTTAAAGAAGATAATCAGCTCTACTACTACAACTCAGCAGTCAGAACTTGTAATATTTTGGTGTTTATCCTTCTGTTTATCTATATGCATATGTACAAATTACATTGTATGTTTATTTATTCTATATTTGTTTTAACCAAGTGGCATTTTGCTCTCCATATAGTTGTTTTTCCTCCATGTTTTTTTTAAAAATTTTTATTGTGGTAAAATATACATAATATAAAATTTACCAGTTTATCATTTTTAAGCATACAATTCAGTGGCATTAAGTACATTCACAATATTGTACAACCATCACGACTATCTATTTGCAGTACTTTTTCATCATCTCAAACAGAAGCTCTCTACCCATTAAGCAATAACTCCCATTCCCCACCCTCTGCCCTTCGTAACCGCTAATCTACTTTCCATCACTATGAATTTGCCTATTTTCGATTTTTCATATAAGCGGAGTCACACAATATTTGTCCTTTTGTGTCTGTCTTATTCCCTTAGCATAGGTTTTTGAGGTTCATCCATGTGACAGCATATATGAATTTCTTTCTTTTTTAAGGCTGAATAGTATTCCATTGTATGGATCTACCATATTGTGTTTATCCATTCTTCTGTTGACGGGCACTTGACTTAATCTTATACAACAATATTAAAGGCTTCCTTAAGGGGCGTCTAGTAGAGTGATTAAGAACTTGAGATCTGCAGTGAAACAGTCGTGTGTTCAAGTTCCCACCAGATCCCTGCTGTTACCCAGCTGTGAGCCCTTGGGGAAGTCACTTAACTTCCCTGAGCCTCTTTTTCCTTCTCTAACTCCCTTCCCAATCTGAGGCTGAAATCAGACCCTCACAGACTGTGATGAAGATGAATGGTTTCATACTGCTCAGCCCAGGATCAAGCTCATTTTCAAAGTGGTTGCTGACTGTGAAAATGTAGCAGCATTTTAACGATCTCTCCACGTTCTCTCCTGTGATTGTACTGCAATTTACTGAACCATTTCTAGCCCTTTGAACTGTTTGATTATTTCCAGTTTTTCACTGTTGTAAATAACGTTATGACGAACATCTTTGCACTAACCCTCTCTCTGCACCCCTGGTTCTTTGGCCCCCCCCCTCCGAGAATGGGCCCTGGCAGGGACATAGCCATGCAGGAGGTAGGCCCTGAGGGTTGGTGGCCTCTGGGGAACCTTGCCCACTAAAAAGCTCGTTCTTTCTCCTCACTCCCAGCCTCACAGCCAGATACCTGTGAGCTGCGAGGAGCTGCCCGAGGAGCCCAACCTTCTGACCAGGACCCTCTCTTGCAACGTGAGCTCTCCCATCTTTAGAACAGGCAGTTTGGTGAGTGTTTTGAGCCCCTGAGAACCAAGCAGCCCAAGGACTGTGAACTTAGGAGTAGGGGGAGCTCCTGGCTCTGGGGAAGGGTGCAAGAGACTGGCCAAGAAGCGCCTACCTCGCCCCCTATCCCAAAGGGAATGTATGCAGAGCTATTTCGTGTCATGTCTGAGCCTGGACTTTGGAATCAGACAAACCTGGGGTTGAGTTATTTATTTGGGGAGCTTATACCCATGACTTAACCATTTGGAACCTCAGTATCCTCATCTGTGCCATGGGGAGAAAACCCCTAGCCCGGTGTTTGAGCACTCAATAAGTGGTCCCGGTTATAATGGCTATTGGGCATGGGGGCTGTGAGGTGCTCAGGCTGCCCCCTGAGGCCCAGGCCCTTTCCTTCTTCATTCTCCTTTCCTTTCCTGCCAGGTTGTTATCCAGGTGATGTTTCATACGCTGCTGAACAGCTCCTGGGGGGACTTTGTAGAGCTGCACGCCAATGTGAGCTGGTGAGCAGGCCCCAGCAAGGCCCCTGCCAGCATCCCTGCCCCGGCCTCAACCTGCCATGCAGTCCTGGCCAAACCCTTCTCCTAACACTGCCCTCTACCTTGCCCAAATGCAGTGAAAATGAGGACTCAGGCCTCCTGACGGACAACTCAGCAACCACCAGCATCCCAGTCCTGTACCCCATCAACATCTTGACTGAGGAGTAAGTCCCGAGCAGCCATCCAACCCTCTCCTCCTATTTCAGCCTCCCCACCCAGGGCCCCAACCTTGCCTCCCAAGGCTCTCCCTCAAAGCCCTCTCCCTTTCCTAGAGCCCCCCCAGGGGTAATTAGAACTGATTCCAGCAGCATTTACTGATAGAAGAAAAAGTACATTGATGGCTGACCTTATGTCAGACTCTGCCAGCTGCACTGCACAGCTGATGGCTTTCCCTGGAGCTTTCGACACCTCAGGAGGAGGCTGTGCCTCTGTCCATTTTACTAATGAACAAACTGAGGCTCAGAGAAGGGAGATAACTTGCCCAAAGTCGTACTGCTAGGAAGTACTGACGCCGGGATCTGAACTCAAGTCTGATTCCAAAACGCCAGCCAAGCTCTTTACTGTTTTTAACTGTGCTAGAATTCCTCCCTCCTGGGAGCCAGCGGTGCTGGAAGAAGTAGGAGAAAAGTTTGCACAATGGCCTTTGCCCGCAGAGAGCTGATGGTCGGGGAGGAGAGCCCAAACTCATGCACACAGTGTCAGTGAGTCTCAGAATGGTGTGGCAGGAAGGACCCACAGGGATCACTAGTTGGATCTTCTCATTTACAGAAAAGGAGATTAAGCCAGAAAAGTGGAGTGGCTTTTTCAAGTTGGCTCAGTGAGAGAAAGACGGGGACAGTGTCGGAGCCCATCTCTAGTGCTTTTGAACACAAGTGCCAAACAGAATGATACTGTCTGAAGTGTGATATGAAATTAGAGCCAGGAAAGATGATGCAGGTCAGAGGAGAGATGGAAGGGGTCATGGAGAAGTTGAGGCTTGAATTAGGGTCTGGAGGATGAGGGGGTTCGGGTAAGGGCCGGGAAGGAGGGAGGACATTCTCATCAGAGAGAATAGCATAGGCAAAGACATGGAGGCAGCAAACAGTGGGGCAGATCCGGGGAGCAGGGAGTGGGCAAGCTCAGGAGAGGGCAGGTACGTGTCGGGGAGCAGCACACAGGCAGACTGGGAAGTGGGCAGGTCCAGACATGGGGGGCTTTGGACCTGACCCTTGTGGGCAGCAAGGAGCCATTGCTGGATTCTGAGTAGGTGAGTGGCTGAGTTCCTGAGTAGTAACATGAGGAAGGTCAGTGGAAGGATGGGGTGGGAGAGGGAGCCAGAGGCTGTGCAGTCATCTAAGAGATGAGCAGTGGGGCCCAGAGTACAGTGGAAACTAGTGGGGTGGTGTGTAGTGGGAGGACTCGGCTCCAAAGGCATACTGCCTGGTTCCAGTCCTGGCCCTCCACTCCCCTGCGGGACTTGGGCAAGAGGCTGACGCCTTCCACGAGCCTTAGTTTCCAAAGGGAAATAGCAGGGCGTTGTCAGGATGAAATGAGATCCTGCCTGTGCAGTCCCTAGCACAGTGGCTGGCAACTCAGAGGCTGCCCCCGGCCCAGGCCCCCTGCCCCCCTGGAGAGTGGGTTGCTGTCTTCTCCACCTTCCACCTCTGCTCTTCTCTCTCTCCACAGCCAAGAAGACTCCACACTCTATATCAGTTTCACCACCAAGGGTCCCAAGATCCAGCACGTCAAGCACATCTACCAGGTATGAACCCCAATGTGAAAAGGTCCTTATAGGTCACACATTCATTCAGCCCCATCCCGGGGACTGAGGATGCGGAGACCAACCAGACAGAGTCCCATCCTCAATGAGTCCAGCCCTCCACCTAGTTCATGATTCTTTCCATATAGCCTTACAGCCTCCACGGAAATGCTTCCAGCGGCGCGTACGCACCAGCTCCTTTCCACCACTGGATAAATTATTTATAGACTCATAGAACTTGAGAGCCAGAAGGCTCTGAGAGAACCTCGTTTTTCATTCAACATTTAATGAGCCACTGTTCTAGTTTAGGTACTTTGCTAGGTGCTGGGGCAGCAGTAAATAGAACAGGGTTCCTGACCACTCAGCAAACCCAGGTCCTGTGCCTGGGGCTTCGTATACTCAGCCCCTGTAATTCTCACATCAGCCCGTAAGAGCCCTGTAATAGGCATTGTCGCTCCCATTTTACAGCTGAGAAATCTGTGGCACAGACAGGTCGAGTAACTTGCCCAGGTTACCCAGCTAATGGGAGGAAAGGTCAAATTCAAACACTTATTTGAATACCAAAATCCGTGTGTTTATGGGCCGGCCCCGTGGCTTAGCGGTTAAGTGCGGGCACTCCGCTGCTGGCGGCCCGGGTTCGGATCCCGGGCGCGCACCGACGCACCGCTTCTCCGGCCACGATGAGGCCGAGTCCCACATACAGCACCTAGAAGGCTGTGCAACTATGACATACAACTATCTACTGGGGTTTTGGGGGAAAAAAATAAAATAAATAAAAATTAAAAAATAAATTTAAAAAAATTCTAAAAAAAAAAAAAATCCGTGTGTTTAAACCTCTAAATGAATCTGTCATTTTTTCATGCTGTACGCTCCGTGCTGTAATGGCAATCTTCATTACGGGAGCTCAGAAGAGGGAGGCTGCCCCCTGAGTCGGAAGCTTGAGGAGTCTAAGCCTTTTTGGGAGGCAACCTCTGAGAGCGGAGTAGGCATTGACCAAGTCAAGAGTATTGTCATTGTACTGTGGAGGAAACTGAGGCCCCAAAGAGGAACTGTGTCACCCAAGGCTGCACTGGAGTCGAGGCGGACTGGGAAAGGAGCCCGGCAGTAAAGGGACCCCAAGCTTAGTTTAGGCCCCTTCAGAACAGAGGCTGGAGCCACCTCCCCTTGATGCTGTGATGATGGAGAGGGGCCTTTGGGAAGGTCACATGCCCGTTTGCATTGAAATAGAATGTTGTGAATGGCCAGTTGAGTTGGCTTCTAGTGCTGTTCACTGGGATGGCTCCAGGTTTCCAGGGAGGTTGGCCAGGCCAGGCCTTTTACAACAGAACGGTAGGAAGGAGTCAGGCAGGCATGGATCCAAACTGCAACTCTGCCACTTGTGCTGGTGTGACCTTGGGCCAGGGACTTACCTGTCCATGCCTCAGTGACATGAGGGTTTGGAATAAGAACTTCACAGGGGGTCATGAGGTTTGGTTTTTATTTATTTATTTTTTTGTGAGGAAGATCAGCCCTGAGCTAACATCCATGCTAATCCTCCTCTTTTTGCTGAGGAAGACCGGCTCTGAGCTAACATCTATTACCAATCCTCCTCCTTTTTTTCCCCAAAGCCCCAGTAGATAGTTGTATGTCATAGTTGTACGTCCTTCTAGTTGCTGTATGTGGGACGCGGCCTCAGCATGGCCGGAGAAGCAGTGCATCGGTGCGTACCCGGGATCCGAACCCGGACCACCGGTAGCAGAGCGCGTGCTCTTAACCACTGAGCCACGGGGCCGGCCCAGGTCATGAGGTTTAAATGGGTTACTTACTCCCTGTAGAGTGCCGGGCGTGGTGTCTTGGGAAGTGGAGGTTGTTGTAGGGATGAGGTGGATGTTGTACTGTGGCCCTGAGATTCCCCAGCTCCTTTGGAAGCCTCCTTACATCCTTGCCTCCCTCAGCCTGGAACCAGCTCTAACCCCTTGAGCTCCCTCCCCCTCCTCCCCTCCCCTCTCAGGATAGTCGTCAAGGCTGTGTGCCTCCATCCATCTCACCACCCTCCGGCTTCACGAGCTGTGCGTTTGGCTCCCCACTCCACTCCTCCAAGCAGCCACTCCTGCTAAAGGCCCTAATGGTTTCCATTTTAACTGAACCCAACAGGGCATGAGACATTGGTCATCCATTCCCTCTTTCCTAAAGCTGCCCTGTTAGTCAGGCCCTTTTTCCCACAGGGAAATCAGCTCTAATCATTGAGATTTATTGTAAGCTAGACAGGTGTGGAAACCCAGTGAGAGCTGGACAGCTGGGCCACAGGATCTCCTTCCTCATGGTCTGTTCCCCTGGCTGGTTAGGAGCTTAGGCTTTTTGAAGCCCTGCCATTTAAAGCCGTGTGGCCTTAGGCAAGTTACTTAACCTCTCTGAGCCCCAGTTTTTCAATCTGTAAAATGGGGATGACAATAGCACCTACCTTATGGGATTGTTATGAGGAGCAAATGCGAAAATGCATGTTAAGTCCTTAGCATAGCACTTGACACATAGGCCATCAGTCAATTTTGGCTGTTTTTAGCATTATTATCATCACTATGATTCAAGGAAGGCAATAGAGCATAGTGATTCCAGTCTCTGAAGTCACAGCCTAGGTTAAAATGCCAACTCTGCTACTTGATAGCTTCAGACAAATTAGCTTGTCTCCCTGAGCCTCAGTTCTCTCGTCTGTAAAATGGGGATGATAGTCCTGCCCTCCACATCGGAATATTGAAAGAGCTGAATGAGATCATGCGTTTAGTGAGGATCAGATGAGACCCAGCCCAGGAAGTGTTCAGTAGGTGGTGATAGTTATTAGCTATGTGTTCTAACCCTCTGTCTTCTGCTTTGTCACCAATACCATCCCCTCACGGTAGGTTCACGGTTCGGGGCTTGCGCCGCTGCTTGCTCTGATCCTGTTAGTTTCCACTAGGTGTGTCTCACTTCCCGCAGTGTCAGTGCACCCCTTCCAGCTGACAACTCCAGACTGTGTCCCTCCTGCTCCTCCAATGCACCTGCCCCTGCAGCTTGTCGCTCGTCTCCATTGGCATGTCTTCCTAGCATCTTCTTTTTGTCCTTTAACAGCTTTATTGAGATATACCTCACACCATACAATTTACCCGCTTAAAGTGTACAATTTCAATGGTTATTCACCATATTCACAAAGGATATTGTGAATATCCACCAAATTCAAAAAGGATATTCACAAAGTTGTGCAACCATCACCAGAATCTAATTTTAGAACATTTTCGTTACTCCAAAAAGAAACCTTGTACCCATTTGCCGTCACTCCCCACTTCCTCCCTCCCCCAGCTCCTGGCAACTACTACTTTGGTCTCTCTCTAGAGATTTGCCTGTTCTGGCCTTTACATAGGAATCATACAATATGTGGTCTTTTGTGACTGGCTTCTTTCACTTAGCACAGTATTTTCAACGTTCATCCATGTTGTAGCATGTACCAGTATTTCATTCATTTTTATTGCCAAATAATATTCCATTGTAAGATAGGCCACATTTGATTTATCCATTCATCAATCAGTGGATATTTGGGTTGTTTCCACTTTTTGGCTATTATGGATAATTCTGCTTGAACGTTCCTGTACCAGTTTTTGTGGGGACATATGTTTTATTTCTCTTGGACATATAAATAGGAGTACACTTGCTCCTCTTGAAGCTTTGGTCTCAACATGTTCTAAACCAAATTTATCATCTTCCCCTAAGCCAGCATTCCTCTGACTTGCTTAGAATCTTTCTTTAAAAGTACCTTTTCCTCAAGCAAAACTTCCCAGTCTGGGTGAATTTCTCCTTCCTCTGTGCCTGGTCCCACTGCCTCCTCACATTCTGCTGTCTGCACCCTCTTCTTTCTTTTGTCCCCGCTACTGCTCAGACTCAGTTCCGCATCTTCTTGCAACTGGACTATTGGCCCAGGCCCCCAGCGTGGGCCTTGACCTGCCTTCCCCAACTTCTTCCCATTCAATGCCTGCAGTAGATGAACCCCCCTGGAGCCACCCGCTCCTTAGCTGCCCCACGACTCCCCATTGCCTAGTCAGTGGTCCCCTGACTTCTTGCCCTCGGGCCTTCAGGCTCCACAGTCTCATCCCTAGTCTTTTCCACAGGTATCTCCTATCTCTCCTTCTAGGAACCCTACCCTCCGGCCACATCACACTCACCTGCTGTCCTAACTCCCTCATTTTCTCTTTCTGGATGCCTTCCCCCATCTTCATCTGTTAAACTCCTGTCTATCTTTCACAGTCAAATTGAAATGCTGCCTTTGACATGAGGTCTTTTCAGTTTAATTTAACTGATATTTTAAAAGTGTCCACAAGTATTCGTTGAACAAGAGAACCCCTCAAATTGGATATTTATCTCCCTGCTTGACCTCCCTGAGACTTTCACTGGTGCTACTCCTGTGTCACTTTCTTATACATTCCTGGGTCATCCAGCCCGAGCACAGAAAGCTCTTTTGTATAAAAAGGTACTTAGGAAATGTTTCTTAAATTAATTCAATGCACTTGCCAAGATTGGGTCTTTCCCAACCTGCATTGTGCATATAATTTTTGCATCTATCCTTGTTAAATGTCATTCATTCTTTCACTCATTCAAAAAACTACTTTCCTTGAGGCCTGTTGTGTGCTAGGTTCCGTGTCAAGCAGTGGGGAGTTGCAGATGAAGTAAACCATCGCTCCCGTGCTCATAAAGCTCTCGCAGTCTAGTGGAGATACAGACACACAGCAGATTCTTTGCCATCCTGCTGGGGAGGTTGAGTGCTGTGGAAACACATGATGGGGAAGCTGCTCTATCCTTGGGGAGTCAGCCAGACCTTCAGAGGTGATATCTGAGCAGTACCTTGCAGGATGTGTGAGGGTTTGCCATGTGGAGAAAGCAGAGAAATGCACATAACCCACACTGTAAGGCTTTGAGGACAGGGGCCAGGTGTGGTCGATCATTGCCCACTGCCTAACAAAGAGTGGGCTCTCGGGCCTCAGCCAGTGAAGTTTGTATCTGGGATGCAGTTGGGGTGGCTGGCATTCCGGGCTCTGCAGCCCCTTGTCCTCCGTACCAGGTGAGGATTCAGCATTCTGTCCATGACCGCAACCTGCCCACCCTGGAGGCCGTGATTGGGGTACCACGAGTTCACAGTGAGGGGCCCATCAGGTACAACTGGAGTGTGCAGATGGTGAGTGCTGCCTGGAGGAGGAAAGGACACCTGGGTCTGTGGGGGTGAGCTCATAAAGGGTACTGGTGTGTGGGAAGGGAATGAGGATGGATGAATTCTGTTGGACTCAGTGATGTCTGAATCTGCCAAGGGCCAGTTGGGAAGAACTGGGGGGATGCCAAGGTCTTATCTGGGGAGTAGGGAGGAATATCAGGTTCTGGGCTTAAGGGGCCAGTGTCCTCTCTCAGTTCTGGACTAACCAAAGACCCCACCTCTTCATTCCTAGGAGCCTCCTGTCAACTGCCATCGTAAGGATCTGGAGAGGCCACCCAGTGTGGCTGAGGTATGGGCATGTGAGCTAAGAAATTGGAGTGGGGGCTGGGCAGAGTGCAGGTGGGAAGATAGGCCTCTCTGACCCCCTGCTTTCTCTAGTCCCCTCAGCCTTGTTTGCCTGGAGCCGAGTTCCGCTGCCCAGTTGTCTTCAAGCAAGAGATCCTCGTCCAAGTGATCGGGACTGTGGAGCTGGTGGGGGAGATCGAGGTAGCGCCTGCTGGCAGCAGACATGAAGTGGTTGTGGGGGGCCTCGAGGGGTGGGGGGTAGGCTTCCTCACCATGTAGTCCTCCTGCATTTTTTTGGTTCTATCTTGATGAAGTATCCCCACAGTTGCAGATGAAAGAGAACCATGATTTGTTTGAAATTTGCATGGCTGTTTTCATGGGCCTACAGACAGTTCTTCTATGTTCTTTATATGAAAAATTTCCTTCCAACAATGTGGAGTGGCACATTAGATGCTACAGTAGAGAACTGAGTAGAAGCCCACTAGAACCCATTCTCCACTGCTCCCCGTTGAGTTGAGGTGGGGGCAGAAGTGAGTGGGTTCTTGGTCCTTGTTCTTGCTGGCCCTGATGCTTTCCCCCACCCTCCCACAGGCCTCCTCCATGTTCAGCCTCTGCACCTCTCTCTCCGTCTCCTTCAACAGCAGCAAGCATTTCCACCTCTATGGCAGCAATGCCTCTCTGGCCCAGGTATCTCTCTACCTCCTCAGTAGACCCAAGGAACAGAGATCAGCAGAGGATATGAGGAACTCCAAGGGGGAGCTGGAAGAGCTAGAGCTGGAAGTGGGAGAGCCCCGCAGAAGGGTGAGCCCCGCAGAAGGGTGAGCATAGCACAGTAAGAACCGCCCCATAGCCAGAGCCATCAGCCTGGGCAGAGGCTTCCTGGAAGCCGTGAGCTCCCCGCCACCACTGGTGGGCAAGCAGACCACAAGGTCAGCTGTCTGAGATGTGTCAGGTAAAGATCAATTTGATGGCAGCTCAGCAAAGGGGTACCCGTCCCACTGGCAGAGCGTGAGGGAAGGCGCTCTAAGCAGAGAGAGCAGTGAGAACAGGGCTCAGAGTTGAGAGAGTGGGCAGGGCAGGTTTAAGAGCAGGAAGCCCAGAGCAGGAGAAGGGAAGTGGCAGCTTTTAGCTTTTTACCTTTTTAAGGTAAGCAGAAGCCAGGTTCTAGAAGGCTTTGCCTGCTGAGCTGAGATTCTGGCATTTTATCCTTCTGCTGAGGGGAAGCCATTTAAGGGTTTAAGGTAGGCCATGGTGCTTGTTTGCCAGTTGGCTCTGGTTGGCTGCAGTGGAAGGTATACTGGAGAGAGAGGGTCTGGGCCCAAGCCCAGTGTCGTGATACAGTCCAAACTGGAAATGCTAAGACCTAGAGATGGAGGTCAAATTCATAAGTAAATGTTAGGTATGGGAAAGGCTTCTTCCCTGCGCTTCCCTCCTCTCCTCCTCCCCCAGGTCATCATGAAGGTTGATGTTGTATATGAGAAGGAAATGCTCTATCTCTACCTGCTGAGCAGCATCGGGGGACTGTTGCTGCTGTTGCTGATTTTCTGGGTGCTCTACAAGGTGGGAGCTTTTGGGAATAAAGGGCATTGCTGAGATATCCAGGCTGCAGAAAGGGGAATGGGCAGGAGTCAGGGAGGAGAATACCAAGATCAATACCAAGGAGTGTTAAAGCTAGGTGGGGCCTCGGCTTACTCCCTCCTTCTACAGATGAGGCTGCTGAGGCCCAAAGAGCAAGTGAGACTTCTCCCCCATCCTTCCACCAAGCAATGGCAGAGCCAGGACTAGGTACCCAGGAAAAAGGACTCTCCCATGTGGGGAGGGCCAGGCACTGGGCTACAGAGGCGCGTACCACAAACATGGTCCCTGCCTTCGTGGAACACACAGTCCAATGGGGTAGACAGACAGGAACACACATGACGAGGGCTCCACTAGGGGGCCTGTGTGCTCTGGAGCCTATAACACAGGAGCCTAACAGGCTGGGGAGTCTGGGAAGGCCTCCCAAGAGAGGTGGTTTTTGAGTTAGGATTTGAAGGATGAGTAGAAGTTAGCCAGAGGAAGAGTGCTGGAGGGTAGATGTTCCATGGGAAAAACTCAAATATTCCAGAAAGGAGAATATACAAAATCAAAGTTTCTTCCTATTGCACCCCTAGAGGGTTGTCATTATCAGCCATTTTGTTTCTGTTCTTTCAGGTTCTAATTTTATTGTTAAAATATGTGTGTATGTGCGAGCATGAGAGAGAGAAAGAGAGAACAGTCAGTGTATGTGTATATATGTAGAAAAAGTCAATGGAGTAATACCATAGATACCACTTGTATTTTCCCTGGATATTTCCCTGGATATCTTGATGTCTTTCCATCTAAGCACAATCAGATCTACCTCTTGCTTTGTAACCCGGGTGTTTTTCTGCTGTCTGGATGCCCCACCTCTTTTTTTTTTTTGGTGAGGCAGATTGCCCCTGAGCTAACATCCATTGCCAATCTTCCTCTTTTTGCTGAGGAAGATTAGCCCTGAGCTAACATCTGTGCCCATCTTCCTCTATTTTTGTATATGGGACGCCGCCACAGCATGGCTTGATGAGCGGTGGGTAGGTCTATGCCCAGGATCGAACTCGCAAACCCTGGGCCACCAAAGCGGAACGGGCGAACTTAACCGCTACGCCACTGGGCCAGCCCATGGATGCCCCACCTCTTATTGAACAAGTTCCCTATTGATGAGCATTTAGATTGTTTGTCATTTACATACATCTCTTTCAAACAATGTGAACAAAAAGGCTCTTGTTACCCACATCTTTGCACACTTGTCCAAATAGTCCTTAGAATTAATTCCTAGAGCTGGAATTGCTGAGCCAAAGAATATATATGTGTTTTGAGCTTTCAACAGAGAGTGCATGGCACAGACTAGGCACCAGATAAGTGCGGGCTCTTACTGTTATTACTAGATGTTGTCACATCACCCACCTAAGATATTGGTACATGACATTGTGATGAGCCTAAAGAATGAACTATGAAATGTACAGCTTTTTAACATGTTGCCAAGAACCCTCACCCCATCCCCGGAGCAGACACCACGAGTCTGTGCACAATACGACTTATTAACATAAAGGGTGCTTTCACGTTTTGCCGGGGCCAACTGGTCCAACGTGCTCCGTGGACTTTTTGCTCACTCAATTTTTATCTTCCTATAGGTTGGCTTCTTCAAACGGAACCTGAAGGAGAAGATGGAGGCTGACGTAGATGCCTCAAATGGAATCCCTGCAGAAAACTCTGAGCAGCCAGCGTCTGAGGAAGAGGCTGTGGATCCTGGCTGCCTGGATCCCCTCCGTGACGAGGAGGCCCAGGATGGAGGTGGCAAAGACTGAGGCCCAGGCCTGATGCAGAGGGTCCAGGACTGGACTTGGGATGCCTGGTGCCAGTCTGCCTCTACCTGCATTTCACTGTGTGTCTTCGGGCAAGTCACTGCCCCTCCCTAGGCCTGTTTTCCTATCTTGGATATGGAGCTCATTCCTGCCCGCCTCCTTTTGCAGGCTCATGGTGAGGATCCACTGACGGATGGGCCAGGAAGGCTACAGAGGTGAGGGCTTGTAATTGTCAGATGGTCCTGGCTTCCATCAGCCCCTCTTAGTTTCTTCCGCTGGAAGAGAACGTCTGATCCAAATTTGGAGAAACTGTAATCTCAGGACCTAGTGACACTCCCGGCCCTCACACCCACCTGCCCTTAGATGTCCGCAGAGGCTTCAGACTTCCAGAACCTTGCCCTGCACTCACTCCTGCCAGGAGTCCAGTCAGCTTCCCATTCTGCTGCCAGAGAACAAATCTGTGTCACTACACTGCTGCTGCATACCCCTTGCCCTTTGGCTAAAGACCAAATTCCTTAACGTGCCTTCCCAAATCTGCAAAATATCCTTAATATGCCAATGCAAAATTGGGCCCCTGTTGCCTTCCCAGCCTCCTCTAGAGACATTCCACCTCCCTTTCTAAGCTTCAGTTACATCAGCCTTTCTCACTTGCCAGGCTCCTTCCTGTCTCACTGCCTTCACCCGGACTGCTCTCTCTGCCTGGAACATTCCTCCTGCCTCCTTTTCCTGGCTTACTCTCACTCAGCCTTCAGATCTCAGCTCATGCATCACTTCCTCAGGGCAGCCCCCGACCCTGACTCAGTTGGGCTCCTGTATTATACACGCTTACACTAGCCTGCACTTGGCCCTCATCGCACGGATCATATTTGTTAATCGTCAAATGATTTACTTAATATCTGTCTCTCAAATTAAACAGTGAACTCCATGAGGGTAGGGACCATACCTGTCTTCTTCACCTTGGGATCCTAGTGATACCACAGAGCCAGACACATAGTAGGTGCTTGAACAATTTCATTGAATTAGGGAGGGAGCCTGCGGGAAGATAGAGAAAAAAGTTTGGATGGGCCGTGGCATCCCCATCCTTCAAGGCTCAGTCTTCCTCAGATGCCTGGCCCCTCCTGCCACAGCCCCACCAGGACTCCATCACACCCCACTGTGGCTCCCACTGTGAGACTGTGAGCTCAAGGGTGGGGACCATAATCTGTTCACCTGGCTCCCCAGTACCAAGCACAGTGCCTACATATATTTATCCAATAAGTGTGAAATTTTGTCCAATTTTGTGATGTTTTTATGCTTGGTGTAACATTCCAGCCTGGCTCAATTAAATCAGTGTTTCCTTCTCAACCCTTTCACTAAGTGGGACCAAAACAGTCAGCTCTTCTTTTTCTTTTCTTTTCTTTCTTTCTTTTTCTTTTCTTTTTTTTTTTTTTTTTTTTTTGCCATGATGACCCTTAGAGACTGACCTGCACCTGACATTGTGAGTTAATTCAAAAGAGAAGCTGGGAGAGAGACACAGAAAGTGAGAAAAGGTTAGGGAAGCATCGACAATTCATTAAGATGTGAGAATAGACGCTCCCTGACCCCCTTTTTTAAAGCAATGATTGGAGGGGCCTGACTCTCAGCACCTCCTCCCCATAGAAGGGACAGAGGGGGCTAGTCAGTGCTGCCCTCTTGTGGTCAGTAGGACCCCAGGGGAATATTGAGTAAGTCTAAGCCAGCTCCCGGTCCAGCGCTAGGTGGTGAGAAACAACATTTGGTCCCCCAAGCAGTGACCTTTGATGGCTCCCTTCTGCCCATAAGGGAGTAAGTGAACATTCCCAAGCCTGGTATACAAGGCCCAGAACAGTCTTTCAAAGCCTGCCGGCCTCTCCAGCCTCATCAACCCCCTTCTGGATAAGTGAGACATCAGGAAAGAAGAAGAGAGGCCTCATTTCCCAGAGAGGGGAAAAAATGTTTTAACTCTAAGGAATATCACAGAACTATTAAAAGTACATGAAATTATCTGTGGGTCACGTGAAACATAAGTCAAGTTCTATTCATTTCTTGAGTGCTTTGTGTCAGGCCCTATTCTGGGCTCGGAGGGCAGGGTGATGAACAGACAAATAAGTCCTTGCCCTCAGAAAGTTTCACTCCCATGAGAAAACAGAGTAAAAGAGGAGAAATGTGGTTCCAGGTAGTGATAAGGGCCATGAAGATACTAAAGAGGGATAACAGGTTACAGGGTGATGGACAGGGCCTTTTTAGATAGGTGGTCAGGGAAGTCTCTCTGAGGAGGTGATATTCTGTGACACTAAAAAAGAAAAGAAAAAGTGAATATTTTCATCAAAGCAGGAAGCAAGAAAGCACAGAAAATCTGGGAGGTTCATTTCAGGAACAGACCTGCCATCATCATGCCCAGGAATTTATATCCCAACTCACTTAACAGCACTTGTCCTCACATACATACACTTTCTCTGTCTCTCTCCCTTTGTACATGCTTTTCCCCTTGCCAGCAGGTCCACCTCTTTTCTATCCATTAAAATCTTTTCAAAGCTTTCCTCATCTCGTCCGTTCCTAGACAAAATGACCGTTCCATCACCACCTTGTTTATACCTCATCAGGGCACATAACTGTGGTGCTGATTGTGTGGGCTCCTATCTCAAGAGTAGGAGGTTCTGGAAGGCAGGACTCAAGCCTCACTCACGTGTTACCAACACTGACCCCTCACTGGGGCTGGCACAGAGGAAGTGTTCAATAAAGGTTTGATTCCGTGGCCCTCAAATGTTTTGGTCTCCAGATCCCTTTACACTCTTAAACATTGAGGGTCCCCAAAGAGCTTTTGTTTATATGGGTTATATTATTGGTGTTTATCCAATTAGATATTAAAATGGGGAAATTTTTATTTTATTTATTTTTTGTGTGTGTGAGGAAGATCAGCCCTGAGCTAACATCCATTGCCAATACTCCTCTTTTTGCTGAGAAAGACGCCCTCGGCTAACATCTGTGCCCATCTTCCTCTACTTTATATGGGACGCCGCCACAGCATGGCCTGACAAGCGATGTGTTGGTCCACACCTGGGATCCAAACCCACAAACCCGGGCCGCCAAAGGGGAGCATGCGAACTGAACTGCTATGCCACTGGGCTGGCCCCAAAATGGGGAAAATTTTAAAACATAAGAACACCCAAGCCCACATTCCAGGTGAGCCGTCAGAGTGATGACATATGTCATCACATGTCATGCAGCCTCTAAAAAACACTGTACTTGTGGGAGAAAAAGAGTGAAAGACTAAATAACATCTTAGTATTGTTAGGAAAATAGTCAAAACCCAGTCAGTCCTAGGTTTGAATCCAGGCTCTGCTGCTTCCTAGCTGTGTGACGTGGGGCAGTTACCCTCTCTGGGACTTGCTTCTTCATCTGTAAAGTGGGAATAATAACTGTATAGCCCTCAGAGCTGTTATGAGCATTAAATGAGATAACACTTGTAAACTGTTGAGCACTGTTCCCAGTACTTATGTGCTTGATAATGGAGGTGGATAGAGATGGTGGTTTAGTTGCGCAGGATGGTGTGCTAAAAGCAGCATGCTGGACTCCAAGTTAAGAGACCTGGTATTGGAGTCCTAGCTCTTCCACCACGATGCTGGGGAAGACATGTGCCCTTTCTGGGTCTGGTCTGTTCCACCTAGGATCTGAAGGTACCTCAGGAACTGCCATGGAAGAGAGGGGTGGTGGGGGCTGATTATATACTAAGTTATATACTAAGGTCTGTGCATACAGGCTACTTTTTTTTTTTTTTTTTAAAGATTTTATTTATTCAATTTTTTCCCCCCAAAGCCCCAGCAGATAGTTGTATGTCATAGGTTCACATCCTTCTAGTTGCTGTACGTGGGACTCGGCCTCGCGCTGGACGGAGAAGTGGTGCCTTGGGGCACGCCCGGGATCCGAACCCGGGCCGCCAGCATCAGAGCACGCGCACTTAACCGCTAAGCCACAGAGCCGGCCCCATACAGGCTACTTTATCAATGAAGCACCACAGGCACCGTGCCCAGGCCCTCCCAGCTTCCAAGGGCCTACGAATACATTTGGGAGCTGAAAAAGAAATCAACTTCAAAATATAAAACTTAGGGCTGGCCCCGTGGCTTAGCGGTTAAGTGCACGCGCTCCACTACTGGCGGCCCGGGTTCGGGTCCCAGGCGCGCGCCGACGCACCACTTCTCCGGCCATGCTGAGGCCGCGTCCCACATACAGCAACTGGAGGGATGTGCAGTTGTGGCACGCAGCTATCTGCTGGGGCTTTGGGGGGGAAAAAAAAGAGGAGGATTAGCATGGATGTGGCTCAGGGCTGATCTTCCTCTCTCTCTCTCACACACACACACACACACACACACACACACAAAATATATATATATATATAAATTAAATTGTATAATTGAAATAAATATTGAAGTAAATGTCTACAAGTGTAATCTCACGTCAGGTGGTCAAATGCAGTTCTATTCAACATATGTAGTTACATATATGAACTATATTAATGTGGGAGTTGGAGTATTTTAATATTTGAAATTATATGTGGTAGGGTGTCTGTATAAAAATGAGCATAAAGTTTACAAAGGTCTTTAAAAGACTGTGAGATTTCTCTTGAAAAATAATGTTTTACTCCAAAAATAACTAAAACTTTGAAAACCACTGCAATCAAACCGTATTGAACTACATGATCTCTAAGGCCCTTCCAGAGCTTGCCCATCATGAGAGGCTGGAGTGAAATGTGCTTAGAAAAGCTAATTGCTCTTGACAAGCTACAAGGCCCTGAGGATGGGCATGGGGCTGGGGGTGATGTCAGGATTCTGAGGCCCAAGAGACCTTATAGAGTGATGACTCCCCACCTGCCTGTGTGGCCAAGCTGCTGGGGGCAGGTGGAGGCTGGCAGACGTGGTCTGAATGTCTCATTTGCCTCTTAGCCACGGAGTGACTTTGAGCAGGTCACTTAGCTCTGTGAGCTCCATTTTCCTTATCTGTGAAATAGAATGAAGCAACCTTCACAGGACACTTTCAGGCCCTTAGTAGGTGTTCATCTCAAGACGTGCTCAGCAGATGGGTGATTCTCCGAGGCATGGCCTGTCCTCCTCAGCTAAGCACAACAGGCCACACCCCAGAATCCCCCAGACTCACTGATGGCACCAACTCCCCATCCTTTCCTGAGGAGCCAAGTGTTAGGAGGGCTGAGGCTCAGATGGGAAAGGAAAGTAGGATAAAGGTGGAGTGGTAGCAGGGTGGTTACATCAATAGGTACAGGGGTCTAAAAAGGAGGCGGAGTTGTGGCAAATCAGGCCAGCCTGGTGGGAGAGTCTTAAAGGCTGGAGTTGTCCAATCCTCATACAGGGTCCTATAGGTACCCTCTATGGCTGGGGTTGGAACTGCAGATAATCCCTGTGGTTCTGGTCAGAGTCTGCACAAAGTGGTGGCTAGAGGTTCCAGCTGGGGAGGGGAAGAGGGATGGTGCTGCTGGGTGCTGGGAGCCAGGGAGAGACAGAAAGCAGGCTCTATGCCTGAGTATGGG